TTTTCCTTGCTGCCATCGCCAAGTACTTGCTCATGGTGGGAACTGTTGGGTCTCTGTAAATTATTTTATAGGGATTCGGTCTAGACCTGCTCTATTTGAAAAGTGTTCTACAAATAACTTCTATTATGATTTGCTGCTATAGAAATACAATTTAATTGAAATTGAAACATAAATGTTTATCAGTTCTGAATGATTTTAATTTGATGCAAAAAATACTCAAAGGAAACCAGTTCGTGTCAGACGCATAGAAATAAAGAAGTAGTAGTAAAAAACAAAAGTAGCTTTAGTTGTTAAAAAAGTGATGCTGTTAATATATGCACAGTACAACTATGCATGCTGGAAGTAGGGGTGCTGAGGGGGCTGCAGCACCCCTAAAATCAGGCATAATGTAAACCATTAGTTCAAACGTTTAAAGTTATGACTGGGATTTACATGTATACACTGGTATTTATGGCAAAAGGGAGTAATTGCCTTGTTTTTGTATTAGTTTTATTTATTAAAAAGTTATAAAACATGCATAAAGTAAAATTTAGTATGACATCATTATATAGACCAGTGGTTCCTAACCTGGGGGTCGGGACCATGAGGGCTTCTTGATTAGTCAGTAGGCCTATATCTCAGAATTTTATATTATTATTATTTTTCAATTTTAAGAAAACTTAATGAAATTGTTATTTATAAATTTTAGATTATTATTTAAGATCTAAACTTTGATGCCTGAACACAAGCTGCATTCACAGAGCTCACTCTCTGATGAACTTCCTCGTCCTGCATTAGAAAAGTTAAAACAACCTAAGAACAACAACAAGAACCTAGAACAATGGCTAAGAAAACAATAAACTTGTCAAAAAGGAAACCTTTTAAATTTTTGTGATTGTTAAATAGTACACTAAATAGATAGAATTGTATTATAAATTCCTAAAATATATCAGGAGAACTTATCTCTGATCAATATTCACAGGAATTAATCTGCTCAAAATTCATCCAAATCTCTCTTTTTACACAAACCTCCTGCAGTTATTCTGTTCACTGTTTGGGTCAGGGACAGCTGGTATACACTCCTGAACAAAATCTTAAGACCGGGGAAAAATGACAAGTATTCGCATTTCGTGTTGGTGGAACATAACAAGTTTATAAGTAGAGCTTTAAAATGCCAAAAGAAGAAACAGGAGCAAGAGACAAAACAATA